TCTCTCTCTCTCTCTCTCTCTCTCTCTCTCTCTCTCTCTCTCTCTCTCTCTCTCTCTCTCTCTCTCTCTCTCTCTCTCTGTGTGTGTGTGTTGTCGTTAACAACCTCCACGAGCACTGTTGCGTGGGCGACAATAGGAATGTGGGCGACAACAGGAATGTGGGCGACAACACAAAACTATGGGTGTTGACGCCCACAACCTCACGTAGATGCAGACGTCCTTGGCCTCTGCCTCCCCCAAGGCCCGCCGAGTCCACCTCAAGTCCATTTTTTTGTTTGGTGAAAAATGAGAAAAAAAAAAGAAGGATTGTCCGCGTCCCCGCGGGCCTCAGCCTGGCACCTTGTACCGCGGCCCTTCAGCCTGCCCTCCAAAACTGCCCTGGGCCGCGGTACTGGGTGTCAGGCTGAGGCCCGCGGGGACGCGGGCAGTCCTTTCTTTTTTTTCTTATTTTTCACAAAAAAAAAATAAAAATAAAAAAATTAACAGCACAGCAGTGGCCCCACTGACCTGTCCCAACACCCCATGCCCTTCAACCCGCCCCAGCAACCCCCTAGAGGCCCGTAGCACGCTCGTACGGGGAGCGTCCATATACCCGTACGGGCGTCTGTACGTCCGTTCGTACGGCCCGTACGGGAACCCCCCGTACGACGTACGGACGATGACACAGCCTGGTTGGGCTTGATGTAATGCCTCAACAGGTGTTGTACAACGCGGTTCAGTTGCTCGGCCTGGCCGTTGGCCTCTGGTTGATTCCCATAAGTCATTTGCAACTGGGTTCCCTGCTCTGCAGCATCGGCCTTCCACAGTTCGCTGGTAAATCGGACATCCCTATCACTAATAATAGACTTCGGTAACCCAAAGTCCCTAACCCAGTTCTCCTTGAACATTCTGATCATATATTCTGTCCTTGTTGTTTCCGGCATTGCTACTAACCTAGCATATTTACTAAATCTATCCACGATGACGAAGATGTGTCGCATCCCACTCTTGCTGGTGACCAGAGTATCCATGAAGTCCATGGACAGACTCTCACCAGGCCGTTCCGGAATCAGAAGGGGCTTCAGTAGCCCAAGAGGAGCCTGAGTACGAGGCTTGTCCCTTTGACAGACCTGACAAGTCTCCACGTACAGTTGTGCATCTCGCATCATCGTGGGCCACCAGAACCGCTGCAACAGATTGGTTGCGGTCTTCTTGTACCCAAAATGGCCGGTGGCATCATGACACTCACCTAAAAACAAACTACGCAAAGACGCCATATTAGGAACACGCAAACGTTTATTCCCAGCCTTCTCGAGGAACAGCAAGCCGTTGGTTGACCAACTCAAACTCGGCAGAAGTCACTTTGTCCTTCGCTTCGGGTCTACGGATGATCTCGGACATGAACGGATCCTCTCTATAGGCTTCCACCATGGACTGAGTAACAGTGTCCTCAAGCCCAAACTTAGTAATCAGCGCACCAGAGAAATCTGGTCTACGCGATAAGGCATCAGCAACCTTGTTGTACTCGCCCTTGATGTACAGGGGCTCGAGGTCATACTGCTCTATAACTTCCATCCAACGCTTGTGGGCGTCAAAGAGTACCGGTTGGGTTCTCATCCATCTCAGGGTCTCATGATCAGTCCTGAGGATGAAGAACCTCCCAAGGAGATAGTGTCTCCAATGGGTCAGAGCCTTGTACACCGCATAGAGTTCCTTCTCAAAAATGGACTTTGCCAACTTCTGAGAGGGCATCTTTTTGGACATGTACTCTACGGGCCTCAACTTTTTCCCCTCCTGTTGTGCAAGTACGGCGCCTATGCCATATTCGCTAGCATCCGTAGTTACTATAATGCGCGTGTACTGGAACTGGAACAGGCAGTACCAGGATCAGGAAGTTTCAAAACTTCGTAATGCGTCAACGCATGCTTCAGATGGCTGAAAGCAGCCTCGCATCTTTCAGTCCATTCCCATGGGGTGTCAAGGCGGGTTAGATCAGTCAAAGGGGCGGCAACTATGGTATAGTTCTCCACGAAGTTGCAATTGTAGCCGGTCATCCCTAAGAAAGATCACATCTCAGTCACAGACTGAGGACGCGGCCAGTCAGGAATGTTGGCCACCTTCTCGTCATCGGGCCTTAACCCTTCCGTTGATATCTCATGGCCCAAGTACAAGACACAGGTGCGGCCAAATTCGCACTTCTCACCGTTGATCTTGAACTTGTGCTGTCGCAGGAGACTGAGGACTTTGTCCAAATGTGCAACATGCTCCTTGATAGTCTTACTAAAAATAAGTATGTCATCAAGGTACACGATGACAAACTTATCCAAGTAGTCATGGAATATCCGATTCATAGCGTGCTGAAAGGTGCCACGAGCATTGCAAAGGCCAAAAGGCATCACCATAAACTGGTACAGACCGTACCTGGTCTGAAAAGCGGTTTTGTGCTAATCCTTGGGCCAGATTGCAATCTGATGGTACCGGGACTTCAGATCTATCTTACTGAAGTATCGACACCCTTGCACTCTATCTAACAGATCATCAATGCGCAGTAGGGGCTCTCTGTTCTTTACAGTAATGGCATTGAGGCCCCTATAGTCAATGCACATCCTAAGTGTGCCCTCTTTCTTCTTAGGTACAAATAGTATAGGAGATCCATAAGGAGAGACACTCGGCCGGATCCACCCCTTCTCTACGAGTTCCTTGAGTTGTCGGCGAAGCTCATCAAGCTCGCCTGGAGACATCCGATAGATCCTACCCTTCGGGATGCTAGACCCTGGGATAATCTCTATCGCGTGGACGACCTCCCTCTCTACAACCCCTGTCGGCTCTTCAAATAGATCAGGGTACTTCGCAACTACTCCCTCTATCTCCGACGGCATTTTCACTGGCTCGCCTGCAGCGGAGACGTAAACTAAGTACATACCCTCGTGCTGATTTTGTTTATTATAGTTATAAAATGCGGCCGCGCACATGCATCCATGGGATTCGATCAGTCTACTAGCTTTAAACTTGTGCAATCTGGCAGTCCCTCCACCTGGCAAAGTGTGCTTGACCACTTTTCGGTCCCAGTCAAACTGGAGCTGAGCCACAGAGAGGTAGTTCATTCCTAGTAACATATCCATTGGGAGCTCGTCGCTGATTAGGAACGAGACGCGATGTCTCAATTCCCCTCCCTCGTACGGGAAACAACACTCTACATCCTGGAGGTAGTCATTGACTACCATGCGCTGTTTGTTGGCACAGGTCGACTCAGGCGCTGCAGTTGCCCTTGTAAGCGCAGTCTCTTAACGCACGCGCGACTGATAAAGTTCCTAGTCGAGCGAGTGTCATAATAGGCCCCGGCCTTGCGGCCGCCAATGACAACCTCGCTGACGAACATCTCACCCTTAGGGGCTTTGACTAGGGTCGTCCAAGAAGCTAGCGGGTCTGATCTAGACCACTCCACCTCTAGCTCCTCTAAGGACTCAAACACATTCATCGAACAGAGGCTCGATGGGTCTGAATGTGTTTGCGGGACGACAATGGAGTCAGTAGCTTGGGCCATCTCTCAAGATGGTGAGGGTGTTTCCAACTTTCCACCACCTCGACCCTAGCAGGAACAACTACTATTCCTACTGGCCCGACGTGTTTCCCGGAGCACTGCCTGAAGTACTGGCAACATTGCTACCAACGGGATGAGAGGATCCCAACACCTGCCCCATCGTAGGCGGGATCTTATCGGTCACCTCCTTCTGGCGGCACTTGAACTGGTTATGGCCACATTGGCCACAACGAATACAGGCCTGTCGTGAGTACTGATCTCTCCACACATCCTCTTTGAGACCCGCTTTCTCCCATGGGGGAGCGTTGGGGTCAAACTTGACCGGGCACCTCCGCGGCGTCTACCGGTCGCCTTACCTTTCTTAGTTACGGCAACGACTACCACCCTCTGACCCTACTCCTTCCTGAAAGTGTTCGTCTAATTTGATGGTTGAACCATGGTTATCGATAAACATAATGCGCCCCTTCGCCTTCCAATTAGGAGGCAGTGTCTTTCTCCTTCCATCCGTAGTGGGTGCCTGTCCATGCCCTATCTTCGCCTGAAGGTCTAGGGCCATCTTGCTAAACGAAGGAAAGTTATGCATATTGATGTTGGCCTGACTTGCCAATTGGTTCCTAAGAGGCAAAGAAAAGCATCTTAGTTACGAGGTAAGTAGAACCTGGGGGTCATAGCGCACCCCTGGGACACAGATCAGACGCTCAACAGCGTCGGTCGCTTCCCTTACTGACTTTAACTGCCGCGTGTGCAGTGTCAGGATCGCATCAGTGGCCCTTTGGGCCTCCTGAGGATCATGCCACCTTTCCTCCACCATCTTCAAGAAGTCCTCCAATTTCTGGGTGACCGCCCAAGCGCGGAAGTCATGACCATACCCCTGGAGCTGCACTAAACCGCTCAACCATCTTGCTGCACTACCCTCTAGGTAGGAAGCAGCCACAAGCACTTCTTCGTGCGGCAAGGTAAGTTTACATCTGACATAGACTGGCACTGACCTCAACCATGTGTCGAGGTATTCGCCTCTCTTGTCCCCTGTGAAGGGTTTCGGAGCGGCGATGGCCGTCTTTGGAACCCACTGTGTTTGTCACGGTCCTTGCATCACGGTAGGCTGTGGACCCTGTGACACAGCTTGCTGTGCTAGCTGCTGGGGCTGTGTGCCCTGCGGCTGCACAGGCTGCGAGACAGCAGGCTGCGTGGTGACTGCAACCTGCAACAGAGATTGGGTGTACACTGTCTGTACAGGAACCTGCAAACTGGTCCCTGCTGATACCCCTCCTGAAAGCGGCATGCCCAGGGAAACGATTGCTACCGATGATGGAGCTACATATGGGGATACCCCAGTCACCAGTGGAACATAAGGAAGAGGATGTACAACGGGCCAGGCACCAGGCCCGGACATTGGTGACATTGCTGGCGTTCGCCCAACCAACAGGGCCAGACTTTGCTGGATGTCCTAGAGGATGGTTGTTTGCTGGTCCTGCATCTCCACTACATTGAGCAGGACAGACTGGATGATCCTCACATCATCCGTTACGTGCGTCAGGTCCATCTCCTCTAACTCACTAAAGTCCGCTTGTCTACGTTGCATCCTGGCTCTTCTTCTAATCATCCTATCTTTCTCCGCTTTTATATCTCCTAACGCCTTCTGCAGTTGTGCCTCCTGCAATGCTGCTCGTTGTATGGCGATCTCATCGGGAGTTAACACTAGTGGCTGGCTCGCCATGACGCCAGTGGACTGACTCTGGGTCTGAGCGACCGTTGACCCAACAGACCCTGAACTACTGGCCTGATTGAACTGCTGTGCTGAGGTGGCCATGGCTTTTGAAGCTGCGGCTTCACTCGCAAGTGCCCTGCTAGCCTCTGCTGCTGCTGCCTCTCCCTAAGTTGGCGGAACAGATGTATGTCGCCCTCTGGTCCTAATGCCAACTGGGCTACTGGGCGCCTTGCCGATCGCAAGATCCAGTCGTCCGGTTGGTGTTCCTCCCAATCGCTCATATGCTACAACCCTTTACACAATCTGCACTAATGCACTCTAGGTGCCTACCGCAACATAGTGCATAGACCAATTAACTGGTGACTATTTCGGAGACTTTACATTCGGGTCAGTCAGATTCCTACAAATAAAACTATTTTTAGTTTGACTAGTCCGCAAACAGAAGCATCATGAACAAAAAGCAGTTCTAACTAATGTTGTCTGTCAGATGTCAATGGTTGTACACCTAACTAATCAAAACATAAAAATAGAATTATTTATGTGGATAGGACACCATGGAATTTTCTCGAACTTATCACCCGGAATTTACCCCTCCGTTATTTCCCCTGAGTATCACTTGGCGTCAGCGTCCCTGAGCAATCCGGAGGCGTTGCGTGTCTAAAGGTGTGTGTTCGGCCCACCCCTGTGCCTCGAGTATCTGCTGAGCTGGTCAGCCCTGCACTGGATTATCCTTGCGTGCAGCGAGCCTTACAACCATTGGCTGATCCAGAGGCAATTTAACGTCTGCCCCCAAGTGACTCCAGGAATTCTTTTACGTCGCAACCGGACGACGATCACAGCCAATGGTTCCCCTTCTGGTGCTTATTTAAAGACGCCCGGTCTCGTCTCCCTCAAGGGTTGGCCTGCCCATCAGTACCCATCTAACAGCGCAGCAAGCCGAACAAAGGACAAGCAGCAAGGCATGCGTGCTCTACTCCCTGTGGGTTGGCATGGTGACCGTGACCCAGTGCTTCGACCAGGGCCCTCAGAAAGCTCCGCCCATCTTCTCCCAGATTCTCCACGTGAACATTGCCGACTCTCAAGGTTGAGCGCACTCGACACCTCACAATGAGAGGACTCTCAAGAAGGAACATGCAACCTCACGGTAAGAAGTGTCGGAGAGGGTAGATAAGGTTAAGAGCAACGTACCTCAAATAGCTGCCCCCAACCACAGAGATAATCTCACTTGATGACCAAATGGCGATTGCGATGACCAGTCACTGCACCGGCACAACCAGCATTATCTCGCCGTTCCACCTCATTATCAATCGCATATTAGATAGTTCTCATCACATTGTCCAGACCATATTACCCCCCCACATAGCCTTCCTAGCGATCCCCTCACCTCCTGGGTCGCCACTCACTCGGCTCCACCCTCCTCACTACATACCACTTACGACCAAACTCACCAAGCAGACCGCATGCATGCACCGTACCAGGCAGAAGACAAGCGCCAGATGAGCGCAAACGTACCACAACTCCGATACCAAATTGCAAGGAAGATCAACAATAGCGAACTTCGGCAATCAAACAGCATCATACATATGAGTCCAGATAGTCTTGACCTCGAACCAACAGCAGAATTGCATCACGAGATTCACCAAATAAGAACACACCAAGAGTTCATAATTGACAATGTTGAAATAGTCTCATCATCATCATCAATGAAGAACCAGAGTTGATATCCTATCTGGCGCTCAGCGCCCAGACTACATGCGGCAGATCCTATCTAGCCTACACTACAATACC